TTGGGGTTTAGTCCAATTCTGTATCCTTCCCTTCAAGGCTCAGGGATCCACGATTATCTTCTGTGTCTGTGTTAATTGCTTTCCCTTTTCTTTGTTGAAGAGGGTCTGTGCAATCCTTCTGCCTAGTCCGCCATCTTGCCGGAACCACAGTACTAACATTTTTATAGTACAATTTCAAAACCTAGAAATTGACTTTGGAACAATCTATAGATCTTCAGTGAGATGGGTTGACACAGTGGCTGAAACAGTGGGCTCAAGCATAGCAGTAATTGTAAGGATGGTGCAGAACTGGTCAGTGTTTCATTCTGTTGTACATGATGTTGCTTTGAGTCAAAACTTACTGTTCGGCACATAACAACAACATAGATCTTTATTCTTTGTGCACCTTTGTAGTCAGTCCCTGGTCACCTTCTGGTAACTACTGATCTACTTTCTGAACTATACATAACTTTAGCCTGTATAAAACATAACGATGTGCCATCAGACCTCTTGGTCTAACTTCCGGGGTAGGAAAAATAATCAAGATCAGCATCAGTTCATTTATATGGACATTCTTATGGCACACACAAATATGTATGTAGACGTATCGTCTGCCAAATTTAGATATGGTCATGGGGATATTCCCTTTTGCCTAGAGCTACCTGGTCATTTGGCCTTTCTACCTATGTATCCACTTGTAGATTAATGTTTATTATTACTGATAATGAGGTATTATATGTGTAAAAGTGTTTATCTTTGTTGTCTGTACATCTTGTGCACTTCTCTGTGTCTTTTTTTTTCCTAGTATTATCGTGTTGGTCACTCACTTTTGGTATATTGCCTTTCCTTTCATCCAAATCAATACTTGTCTCTTACCTATCTAGCAATTTTTTGTCCCCTCCCCTGCTCTCCTATATTGTTGACTTTTTAACTTTTGTCTTCCTAGTTGGCATGTATTGAAAGTTCATTGTGATTTTAATTTGCATTTCTCTGATGGCTAATGATATTGGACATACTTTAATATAATTGGCAATCATGTTTTTTTTGTTTTTCTTTTTAACCAGTATTCAAATTTTGTGCCCACTTTTTTGGAGGGCAGCTAGCTGGGGTTGGATGGGTATTTATCTTCATTCAATAAATATTTGATAAATAATTGAATTTTTCTTGATTGATCTAAAATTGACTTGAATGTATGTATTTTTCCTCTTGCTCACTTGGAACTTTAGCTAATGCTCCAACTCAGCTAAAGTAGTTCAAATTGTGTTTTGTAGTCTATTTTGAAATGAGCAACTGTAGCAGGGAATCTTATTTTGAACATGATATTAAAATAAAGATGAGTAGTTTCCTTCCCAAGGTAGGAAATAGCATCATCTTAACCATCACCGTCATCCTCATGATACACTCTTTTTGACCATGGGGAAGTCATTACCCAAAGACATGAATTTTATGACTCACTTGGTTGTTGGATTGCTGCTTTGTTTCTCTAAGGCTAGAAATGCTCTTACCTAATTTCTATGTGGTCTAAAAATGGAAGGACAATCTTAGCCTTGTTATTCTTAGCTGTTGCTGAAGGAACTTTCTCCATTGAAAGTAAATGTTAGCTGGGTTACTCTACAAGCCTTCTGTTGATCCTGTGGACTATAATTTGGTGTTTATGATTTAAGAGAAAAAAGCAGAGTTAACTTCTCCTTTTTATACACACTTTATGACAATATAATGTTTTTAGTTTTTGTTCTGTTCTATTAAGTAGCCAAAAAGCCAAACCTGTTACCATCAAGTCGAAAGCTAACTCATAACAACTTTATGGGGCAGAGTAGAACTGCTCCATAGGGTTTCCAAGGCTGTAATCTTTATGGAGCAGACTGCCACATCTTTCTCCCACAGAGCAGCTGAAGGGTTTGAACCATCAACCTTTTGGTTAACAAGCCAGGGTTTATCCACTGTACCACGAGGGCTCCTTTTGTTAAGTGTTGTTGTTGTTGTTATGTGCTGTAGAGAGATAAAAAAGTAAACATAGACTCCTTCCCACCTATATAACTATTGATTTGAAAACAAGAATAATTAAAATGCAATATACATCTGATGTTTAAAAATCAATTCAGGATAGGGAGATCTATTTATCTTTATCTCTAGCTATCGCTCTGCATAAACAAAAGTGAATCTCCTCCGTTATCTGCCCAGCCCAAGTCTTTCTCCCTGAAAAGGTAATCACTGTGGAAACTTTCTTATGATTCCTTATATTAATGCATGGTCTCTCCAAAAAGGATCAGATACTATGTAGAATTCTGTACATTTTCCCACACTATCAGATCTACTTAATGCAGAGTACTTATTATATGAATGAATGAGCTATGCTTTACTTAATTGATCCTTTTTGCCTGTTTCCAGGTTTTTTTGTTTTGTTTTGTGTTTATTTTTGTTGAGTTGTTATTATAAAAAATGCTGCAGTAAACAATACTGGAGATTTTGGCAGACTTTTGCAAGTATAGGATAAATTCCTACCAGTTGAATCTCTGGTCCAAGAACATTTTATGATTTGATAGCTGTTTCTACACTGTCCTCTTTACCGTTCCAGCCATTTACTCTCTCACTAATAGCGTCTGCAAGCATCTATGACACATATTTTAAATGTAATAGCCTAATTTAAATTCTTTGTTATTTTAACCTTCTAGTGTTCTGTGAGGTGGGACCCCCAAATTAATGCCATTTCAAGGCTGTTTTATCTTTATTGCATTCTTCTTCCCCTGCAGAGGAGAACCTAAAGTAAGTCAGTGCTTGCGGTGGTTGACTTCATTTGCTTCGTGGACTTTCCTGCACACTGCTCTTAGGCAGCTCAATATCTAGAAAGCCCTATTGTTGATATGCTCTGTCTATTTTATGTTTCCTGCAGGAGGCAGGCTGAACAAGGACCTGAGACATTTTCTCAATCAACGCTTTCAGAAAGGGTCTCCTGATCATGAGCTCCAGCAGACCATAAGGGATAACCTTTATCGCCATGCTGTGCCTTGTAAGTAGCCCATCTTTAGCATCTCAGTGCCGGGTGGGTTGCAAGAAGTCAAAAGGAGAAAGAATGGCTCAGTAGCTGGTTCACGAGCACTTGATAGGCTAGCCCACTTAATGACTTGATAAGTCCAATGAATCATAATTGACATTGGGACATACAGGACACTTTCCTGGTGAATCACATGGGCTTTTGAACATGCTTAGGGTTTAGACCCAGCTCTCCCACTTACTAGTTTGCAATGCTGGGCAGGTTATTTATCCTTTGAAAAACCCAGTTTTCACATTAGTAAAAAGGCTATCACAGAACTATAATGAGAATAAATGGGACGGGACACTTAAACATTTTGTAAGGTACTGGCATGGGATAATCCGTAAATGTTGACCATTAATGTAATTAATGGAATGGTCTAGGACAGAAGGAGTCCCTGGGTAGCACAGTTAAGTACTCACCTACTAACCAAAAGGTTGATAGTTTGAAGCCAACAAGAGATGTTTCAGAAGACAGACCTTATGATCTGCTTTAAAAGGTCACAGCCTTGAAAACCCTATGGAACAGTTCTATGCTGCACACATGGGGTCGCCACGAGTTACAGTCAACTCCATGGCAACTAACAACCACAACAACCAAGCCAGAGGCCTTCAGACTGTTCCCTATAGAAACCAATGGGTCCCTAAGGCCCCCACCCACAGCAAAAGGGAGGGCTTAATGGACTCTTCCTTTATCCTCATGCTCTTCCTCCATTCAATCAACTTTTATCAGATTCATAAATCAAGATTTTTATTTGTAGAAATGGTCCCCACACGTTAAAAAACCTAATGCTTACAAACTAGTATACTGACCAAATATGAGAAAGCAAGATGTCGAACATAGGTCCTCTGAAAGAAGAGCTTTTGTGTGGAAGGGACGGAGGGGAGGAAGGGAAGAAGGAAGGAAGGGATGAAAGAAGGAGGACATGAATCCTGATTCTCTTACCTGCCATTTCCAGTCAGTGCCTCTTCCTTTATTCCTCCCTTCAAGAGCCGAGGTCCTAGGTAAGGTCTACAAGTAGATAAATTGGCATCCAAATTGTAGTGAAATATTACCATGTTCTATATATACTATGAGGAGCTCTGGTGGCATAGTGCCTAAGGCACTTGACTGCTAACCAGAAGGCTGGCAGTTCAACCCACCAGCCACTCCTTGGAAGGAAGACTGAGCAATCTACTTCTGTAGAGATACTGCCTTGGAAACCCAAGAAGGGGTCGGTTTGAGTCGGAACTCACTTGATGGCAGTTAGTTTGTTTTTTTATATACTCTGTTCCTATGCACCTAATCATGGGGTGTGATTAACCAGCAAAAGAAGAGAACAATTTAAAGTACAAGGTACCTTGCTCATTGCTGTGATTGGTTTGTTATAAATGGTTTTCTTTATAAAAATTGTATTTTGCAAGTGGTATGCTAGTTAGAATGCTAAGGTATCCTGATATCACTGCAATTTAATGAACGGAATTAATCTAAGGCATGCCATATATTTACAGGAATTTAGATTCTAAGTCCAGACTGAGGCCTTTAGAGATTAGATTCTAGAATAGTCCCCTGCCCTTTGTTTTACTGATTAAGGAAACCAACACTCAGAGAGGAGAGTAGTTGACTGCAAGTAAGTCGGGGCAGAGCCCCAGTGCTTCCTCTTTCAGCTGAGTAGTAAAGCTGCATTTAACAGAGAAGATGATGTGATAATGTATTAATGTGAATTATATCTCCCAGCTCTTTAGGTCTTTTAGCAGTGGAGTAGAAAATTGTAATTCTCATGATGATTCTTTATATTAATAGTAATTAATAGTAATTATAATTAATATAATTATATTAGTATATACTATAATATAATATAGTAATAATAATTAATAGTAATTCCCAATTCAGTGAATCAGTTTGCTGGGGTAGAGATTATCATTCTGTTTATGTAGGATAAGAAACTGAGGCACTAATTGGGAAGTACCTACACAAATGGGGCTAAAGATAAGCAGGGTCTCCTGGGTACAACCTTGCCTCCCTCTGACATACAACCATGCTTAAACCTTACAATTATACGTTGAAGTTGGGCTTTTCAGCATCCATTGTACAGATGAGGAAACAGAGTTTCAGGAAGACCAAGTAATTGGTAAGTGGCAGATCCAGGTGTTTTTGACTCTCAGGCTATCCAGGGTCGTTCCCTGGATATGTCTTTACCATAGCCATCTCTGAAGTTACAATACAGCAGGTTGGATACAGTTTTGCAGAATTCAGTAATTGCAGAATCATGATTGTTCTCTGTGTAATTTTTCCCCTACTTAGATTCCAATTTAAGAAATGGGGAATGAAGCAAATGGGCACACCATTTCTTGACGCATCTGTGGTGTTACCATGGTTACATTTCGGGATGCTTTCCCATTTATTTTTTCCACTGATTTATTGGACCTGACTGTGAGCTAAATGGCTTGATTTTAAGCTTACCACTCTGTAGGAATTGGGGCAAAAATGACCTAAGTCATTTCAAAGCAGTGGAAAATCGTGTTTTGTCTTTGCTTGTATAAAACCCTTGGTTATTGATGTTTCATTTCTATAAAATGAGTAAGTCAGGAATTTGGAAAGGGGAAATGGTCTCCCTTCTGAAAAAGAAAACAGGTGACATTTCATTTTAAATTTCCTTTATAAAATGTGAAAGAAATGCAGAAGTCTGTTTCCGAGTCTGGTATAGTACGTATGCCTTTGAACGTGTATAGACCAGAGGTGATTTGGGATCCTGTTATAGATCTGGGCTGTTCTGGCCACATTTGCATTTATTTGATACTTTGGCCCATGTGGCCAGTAAAGCAGAGCTGTGGACCAACCTGTTGTGGTAATGGACTGAATAGTCCTAGGTTTGGAGAATGGATTTTCTTGATTATGTTGTAACAGTGCCACGGGGAAAAAAGCTCAGGTCATCTGTATATTCCAGAACTTCCTGCTGCTGATATTTTAGTGACTTCAGTATTTTGAGAATGGATGACCTCATGAACAGGTGCTTGTGAGTGGGGGTAGACTTTTTTTCCCTATACATTATGGGCGGTTCGTGTGCCATTAAAAATGAAGAAATAAAGCACCTTTTTTTCTCAAGGCCGTTTTGGTGTCCTCATAGTGTAGAGCTTTACGTGATTCATAATGGACTTTATCATTTAAGGTTCAGTTTTATCCAAATTTCCTGAGAAAGGCGATACAGGTAATAATATCTCTATTTCACAGGTAAGAAGCAGCAAAATTAAACATCCTCAAAATCATATCACTTCTAAATGCCACTCCTTATCCAGTGCTATATGTTGTTATGTGCCATCGAGTCAGACCTGACTTATACCGACCCCTCCTTGGGTTTCCGAGGTAGTATCACTATAGAAGTAGAGTGCCCAACCTTCCTTCTGAGGAGTGGCTGGTGGGTTTGAACTGCCAGCCTTCTGGTTAGCAATCAAGTGCCTTAGGCACTGTGCTACCAGATATAT